CAAAAGTGAATGAGTACCCGGTGAGATAAGTCATACGACGGTTAACCTTCTGGCAGCTTGGCTTATCCGGGGTAATAATGCGTAACCGCTTTGAGCATACACAAGTGCATGGAAACAGGTGCTTTATAAATGGTCATTATTATTATTACAAGAAGTTATTATCCATAAAACTGCGTGTTTCCTTATTTACTCACTAACTTGTAGAATGCCGATTAAACAGTTAGGATGTTTTTGGTATTTTATTATTTTTTATTGGTTCCCAAGATTAAAATATTACAGATATACAAAACCGTATTACATACGGCTTAAAGTAATATGGCTACATGATGTACAGGTGAGATATTATATATATAATATTTTTATAAACATGCATACTTCATTAAATAGGTAATGTATGGATAATGTCAGGTACAAATCAATACAGTTTGAGTCATCTAAGTACTGGGGAGAGAAGGCTCCATTTATGATGGAAATTATTTATTTTTTTATTTTTTGTTGATATATGATTTTCCACAAAGAATATTTCTTTTAGAGTTTATATATGTAAAGTTAGATTTGGAAGCATATGTTTAATATTGCATAAGTGAATATGTCTCTTCGAAGCAATGATTATGTGATTTAGTAGTCAAATCATGTTTTTTGATAATTTCAGTGAATGTGGATAAAAATTGTTAAGCCAAATTTGTAGGTTTATCCAAAAGGTTTGAGTCTCCTGACATTCCCAGTACACGTGACACACACTCTCACTTACATCTTTGCAAAAACAACACAAACTGTTGTCAACTTTTTTCATTTTAACCAATTCCTTTTTTGTGTAAATAATGCCTTGTAGAAATCTATATTGAAAGTCTATAAGCTTTGTATCTTGCAATCCCTTTCTATATACTGTAAATATATTTTTCCAATCAAAGTCAGTTTCAGGAAATAAAAGTTGCCATTTATTACAAATGTTTGGATATTTATCAATTCAAATAGGTTTATCATAAATAATTCTGCAGCCTTTTGATGCTTTTACTAAATTTATCTGGTTAACATTCAAATTACTGACTGGAATAGAGAGACAATGCTTTAAAGTATGTTTCCAAGATTCAGGTAATATGTTCTGTAAATATCTGAAACTAAAAAAGTACCTTTGATATGATACTTTTATTTTAAAGATTCTATTGATAGTAATCCATACTCATCACATATATACAGTCGATCACGTGATCTTTGCATCGAAGTTTTCTTCATATGCAGGGTTTCACATTGGCTTCAAGAATTGAAAAGACACCTTTTAAACCACAGTTCTAACGATACTTGAAATGCCACGATTGTCACATGTGCAACGTGAACGTGCCGTTGGCATGTTGCAAGCGGAAGATCAGGTATTGACGTTGCAAGAGCAATGGGATGCAGCCGTCGTACTGTGTATGACTTACGATGTCGTCTACAACAAACTGGCACCACTTCTGATCGCCCAAGGTCGGGTCGTCAAATCGTCCTACGTCACCTACGTGACAGATTTCTGCCGGCTACACGAACCAGGGCTGAGATGTTTAGAGGTCGACTGTCCTCACAGACCATTCGAAATCGGTTGCGGGCTGCCAATCGCCATTCTCGACGTCCATATCGTGGGCCAATATTGACGCCGTTTCGTCAACGCCAACGTCTGCTGTGGGCCCAACGTCACCTCCGATGGACCCAGAGCGACTGGAATCGAGTCGTCTTTAGCGATGAATCCAGGTTTACCCTCAGATTAGCGGACGGTTGGCATAGATTGTTGTGTACAGGAAGTCGACAGATTCGGGGGCGAAAGTTTCCTGGTGTGGGGTGCTTTCTGTGGGAACAACCGTTCCCGACTTCTGGTCATCCGTGGAAACCTCACAGCTGCTGCTTACCGCGACCAGGTGCTCACTCCTGAACTCGTTCCTTTCATAGCGGCACAAGGCCCAGGTCTACAGTTCCAGCATGATAATGCTCGGCCGCATACAGCGACGTTGACACGAAATTTCCTTCAAAACGCTGGAATCAACGTCATGGACTGACCCTGACCTTAATCCAATAGAGCACGTTTGGGATGCACTTGGGCAAAGGCTTCATGGTCTTAGGAACCAACCTCAGAATTTGCAGGAACTTGCAAGAGCAATGGCACAGAATCCCCAACCACGTGTTCACAAGCATCAGGCAGTCGATGAGGAGACGGTGTTTGGCAGTGGTGAATGCGCGGGGTGGCCATTCACGATACTGAACAGAGAAATTTCGCATTTTTATTCTTGTGACTTGACATTCTGTTTACATATGTTTTGGAAGGGCGGTGTAGCCTAATGGAACTGATTATGGCACTGTCAGTGTATCGAGTACATCACACAGATCTCAGCAATGACATAATAACAATTTAACCATCTTACCATCTCTTGTTCTTTTATAGTGCCCTGAAGAAAGAATGTGAAGTTTCTTTTTTGACTCAGTATATATCCCTAATATTCATAATCTCTTTCTCTGCCCATTTCTTCATGAAATATGTAGAGTTTTAGAAGTTGTGATTGAACCATAGTGGTTGGAATGGAATTTCATTAATGTTATTTGGGTCAACATAATGTTGTTTTTGAAATAATTTCCATGTTTTTAACACATCATGCCAAAAAGGGTTTTCAATCTCAGTAAAAGTATCAGAATTTGCTCAAAAATTAAATATATCTTTGAAAGGTACATTGCATGGGTTTTTATTTTCACATTATTTAAAACATAATCTTAAGGTTGATATTTTCAAAGCATCAATAAATCTACTTGTATCAATCATTCTCATTCCTCCTTCTTCATATATATTTTTTAATAAACTCCTGTTTATTTTATCATTTTTATCATTCAAATGGATTTAAAAATAGTTTTTCAAGCGAAGTAATAAATTCTGCTGGTGAGTTGGGCAAAGAATTGAAAATATGAACTAGTTTGTAGAGATTGCTAGGGTTTTTATTACTGTTATTTTATCAATGAGTGTTGAATGTCTTTTTCTCCAAAATGCTAAGAGTCTATTAATTTCTTCCAGTCTCTTTCTAGTGTTGATTACGCATAGGTTCAAATTCAATACCTAGTACATCAAATTCACCAGTTACCCATTCAATTTTCAGGTCATTACATATTTTATTAGTAGATTTAGCTTTTGATCCAATCCAGATTGCTTTTGATTTATCTAAATTTATTTTCGAACCTGACATTTTATAAAATGCATTAATTGGGTCGATAGCAAAATATAAACTGTCCTCAGTTCCATCAAGAAATATTTCAGTATCATCAGCGTATTGATCCAGTTTATATTCCTTATCATTGATGACAATACCTTAATGTTGTCATTGTTTCTTTAACAGTTAGGATGTTATTAACATTGATTATTTGTCCACGGTGGTGGACTGAGTACCACCAATAAGTACCACTATTGACGATATTTCCGATTATCGATCATCGAAAAGCCAGCCCTATTCCACCACCGTGGTCTGCCTCTATATTATGCTCAGGATGATGTTTTGCGAATAATCCATGGAAAAACATGTCACCACTTACCAGTACTCATAGTTACGTCTCCGATATTCTCTGTAATTGATCGATATTTATTTATCAATTATCGATATCTAAGATCTATACTAATAGATCTGTGAATATATAATACATGTATACCCAAATAACCAGCATAACATTAGTATTAACTTTATATCATTATTGTATGTCTTCGACAAAACGTTTCCACCTTTTTCCTTAAGATATATGTCCTGAGATGGGTCTGGTGAAGGTGTGCATCTCCGTGGTGCTGCCTCTGGTGGTGTACTGTGTGTGTGAACCCGGGCTTCAGGCCTGTGAGTGGGAGTCTTGGGGTGTGTGGAGCTCCTGTAACAGAACATGTGCTGGGCTGAGAACTAGAACACGGAAGATGTGCTGTGGAGTTCATGTTCCAGACTGTATCGGTAAATGCCACCGACCCAACACGTCTGTGGAGACAGAGCCATGTGCGACACACTGCCCCAATGGTGGAAGCTACATTGATGGCTACTGTCACTGTCCTCTCAGATATGGAATTTGTTGTGAACGAGGTGAGAGTTATAGGGTAACAATCAGGTTTTCGATTTACCATGAAGTTTGTTTCTCATGTCACCAAGTCCTGCTTATTACAAACATGTATTTTCAATGAATGATTTGCAACATTACGTTTATTATGTGTGCCAGTCGGCATCTGTTTGTTTTAGATGAAATGCCAATGATGTAGTTGTGGTAAGTCACGCAGAATAATCATATTAACAATGCCGCTGTTGATCATAACTTTGTAATAAACATAACTGTCATTGTAATCTACGTTACTGAAATGAACGTAAACTAATTTGTATAAATTGATCATCAACTTACTATACATATGCTTTTTAACGAAGTGTTACTGGAAATATATTTCACATACGTTTTATCTGTATTCTATTTTGATAAACAACAAAACTTGGCCATTATACAACTTGAATACAAATCTTGTAATCTACGTTACCGTAACACCACCATATCTATATAAAATTGAGCAAAAGTACTGGTGAAATGTTTCTATACTATTACACAGAGCTATATTAATAGATGCAAAAGTGATTAACAGTTTCTGCGTTTCATTCATTATTTAAAGTACAGACAGTACAGAAGCACAGTGAAAATACATCCAAACAGTAATCACGTTACCTGCTTAGTTTGATGTAGAATATCAACAATGATAATCCAATTAAAAGTAAACAATCATATAATGTTTAGAATAGTTCATACCATAACTCTAGACCCATAAAACTGTCTTATCTGTGTTGTAGTAGCGAAACAAAGTATACCCCTAACAAACGTCCTTTAGCACCCACCAAAAGTTTAAAGTGTAATGGAAGAACAGTAATTTGTTTGAAAGTTTAAAAGAAACGTATTGAAAAGGTTTGCTCTATGGCAATGCTAAAAAGTGTAAGCAGAGCTGTAAAAGTTGTATACCTGTTTATTTCATGACATGTTTACAGACGAGACGGCTGTGTCTGGTGGCTGTGCCCGACACTGCACGTGGATGAACTGGTTGTCATGGGGAGACTGCAGCACAGACTGTGGCTGTGGAACACGAATCAGGAAAAGATTTCCTTGTGGTCGAAAAGGGTTGAGCTTTTCTGAGCGTATAGAGGATTGCAACTTCCGGGACAACAGTACTGACGAGAGAGTCTGCACTAAACAGTGCACCAGGAATGGTAAGGAGTAGGGCCATAGACTGACACAGTTATACTGTCAGGGTTACTTTACATCCTGAGCGTTTGTCATATCAAGTCGAATTGTTGGTTTGTTGAAACCTTTATGTTAACAATAATTCAAGGTTGTTTGTCCATGCATTGTTATCTTCTTTTGGTGTTCCAAGTTCTAAATGCCTTTTAAACAAGTTAATGCAAAGACCGTCAGACAGTGAGAGGTAAATACCATCTAGTCAGTGTGTTGTAAGTGAGAACTGTGAGATGTACATGGTCACGATCTAAATGAACATTTAGTCGAAACCTACCAGAAAGCCACACTGCAAAGGAAATATGTAGTAGACAGTGCGAGAGAAATGGTATAGCAGTGATCAAAAGTTTACCACAGTCAAGCACGTTCCTGCTACAATTCAACATCTCGCGTCAATTTGTACAATTTGCTTACAGTTTACCCCTTCCGTCTCTAATATGCGAGGTCCCATGCTTGTCGTAAGAGTCGACTAAAATAGGATCGGGGTCGCTCACTTGGTCTGGACAACACACAATAATGACATTAACAATAGTATGGGAATATTGACAAACGTAATCAGTGCATTAAATGAAACGACAAAACCCGTTCCACGTCGATAAGAAATCTCGAATATGCAATTGTGACTATGTTTTGAGCATATATTTGTTTCAGCAGTATTACAGCTGCATGACGTTGTTGTAAACCAATAACAAATGAAATATATCAATTCCAAGAATATACTATCTTCACATAGACCAGAGTCAGACTTGTCAACTTTGTTCCTGGAACAACTGGCAACCATGGAGCAGTTGTAGCCAGACGTGTGGAGGAGGACAAAGGTCAAGGCCACGGTCACCTTGCTGCTGTAAAGGCCAATCCAATAAGGACTGTCTGTTTGACTGCCGGTTGTCGGAGAACGACTCAGTTCAAACCGAGAACTGCAGTGAAGTTTGTTTCAACAACGGAAGCTTCTCAAGCAGCATCTGCCACTGTGGACAAGGCTATTCTGGATCTTGCTGCACTGAGGGTAGGATGCTTCTTTACGTGTTGATTGCTGAGTATGGCTCAAACATCTGACCATACTGTTAATGCCACAAAGAGCAGCCTAGATGTGTATCCGTTAAGCTCCGGGTTAGAATTGGTCTTCAGTAACCCATGCTTGTCGTAAGAGGCGACTGTCGGGATTGGGTGGTCAGGGATGCTGACATGGTTGACACATGTCATCGGTTCCCAATTGTTCAGATCGATGCTCATACTGTTAATCACTGAATTGTCCGGTCCAGATTCGATTATTGACGGACCGCCGCTATATATCTGGAATATTGCTGAGTGCGGCGTAAAACTAATCTCACTCACTCTTGGAAGTGTACGTAGTACACGACTGGTTGTCATTGATATAGAATGAACTCCGACTGTGTCCTAAACCACACAAGGGCAAGGAACAGCCAGAATACACTTCTTTCATAGTGCTCATGTGGAAGGTCTTCTTCGCCTCGAGGGCTATGAATAGAATTCGTATCCCTTCATTATGGCTTTTTATTTATAGAATTTTGAATGAAACCTTTCTAATTTCATTTCAGAGGTAACTGATGGCAACTGTACAAAATGCACCTGGGGGATGTGGGGACGGTGGGGATCTTGCAATGACTCCAAGAACGGGGAGGTAACGAGAAGGAGATCCCTCTGCTGTCGTGTGGGACAGAAGGAGAACGAGTGTTACGCCCAGTGTAAGCGAGAGGGACATGGAACTGTCGACGTGAAACAATGTGACCTGTTTATAGTGAAAGGTAAGTCAACTGTGAAACAGTTTAATATAATAACGATGAACGCCGTCACTCTTATCATGGTCGTGTCAGATGGTATAAGGGGTGGTGGGGTAGCCTAATGGTTAAAGCGTCCGCTTGTCACGCTGAAGACCAGGGTTCAATTCCCCACATACATACAATGCGTGAAGCCCATTTCACGTTTCCCTTGCGGTTTTATTGCTGGAATATTGCTACAAGTGGCATAAAACCATACTCACTCACTCAGATGGCACAACTGTCGCGTCGGACACAGTATTTGTATATACCATATATGTTCCGTACTACCAGTCCAGAACAGAGTCAACATAGATCATCTGAAGTTCCTGAAAGGCATTTTGATGTTGGACGAACACTGTATACTTGAGGATGTAGTGGCATATTATTTAATGCGATGTATATATTGGTTACCAGTTTCAGATTCAACCCAACTTCACTTTATGTACACCATCATTGCCTCTGTCGTATCCGTTGTCTTCACGTCGCTTGTCTGGTAGGTATGATTCTGACATGTGTACCTTTCCGAGTGAGTGAGTGAGTGAAAAGTATATCTCCATTGTACGATTCCGACTATGTTCCGACACTACTGTCATGTGTGTGAGTGAGGGAGGGAGGACGAGAGAAGGGGGAGGGCTCAGGGAGGGAGTGGGCTCCACACATTGTTCCCATGTACCCATCTGACTTAATATTATTCAATTCGAATATGTACTTAATGAATCTAACAATGCAAAAAAAACTTCAAAAGATCCCACGGGCATAAGAAATATGTATGTCTATTGTACGATTTCGACTAAATCGTAATCGTAAGCCTTGTTTATTGACTGATATACATAAAGTCAGCTGCGCCAGACGCTGTAGTTAACGCAAAACCTCACAACTGATTTCAATCCAGACAAAGCCTCCAAGTCTACAAATACAGATACAGAGCGTCCTACTGACGAAAAGACAATACAAGGCAATATCTCAATGTAAAGTAAAATATAAGAGATGCTGCTTTAGATAATACGAATATTCTTTTTTTAGGACTGCTGCTTATTGCATCAGGAACAGGAAGTGCAGGGGGCCACCAGACCAGCAGGGGTCATGTGATGTCAACAGTCCAGCTGAAATGGACAACTATACCAGTCTACAAGCTGATCGGAGAGACGTAGTTCGTAACGTCACCCAGAATTCATGCTATGACAATCTTGCATGTGAGCCCGTGTATGAAAACCCACAAGATCTGTTTATGTAATGCGCCCATTCTGGGTGTCCCCTGCCGTGACATATAGCTGGAGTGTTGCTCAAAGTGCACCGACGACCTCCAAATCATCGTATCCCAAATTGTTTACATCGATGCTCATGATGTTGATCACTGGTCCAGATGCGATTAACTACAGAACGCCGCCATATAGCTTGACTATTGTTGAGTGAACACGCGGCAGAACATTTTCCATAAGAAATCTCTGCTATAAGCAGGATGTGCTGTACAATTCCGACTGTATCTTGAGACACATTTTGGCATGAAGTAGCCAGAATGAGCTTCTTTCATAGTGCTCACGTGGGAATCCTTCTTCGCCTCAAGTGTTATGTCAATGTGTTTGTTATGTGTTCGTTTTGGATGAGATAATAGTACCAAGAGAAAGTTTGGCTGTTAAATATAATTATTGTGGAACTTTCTTAACACTGAACCTCGTGGAAAGCAAATACTATAAGTTTATAGATGAAGGTTAGCTGTCCAGAATGCTTTGGGACGATAAATATCCATTGTTAGGAACAAACATTGTTATTTGCGGGTAGTTGCGATGTGAATAGTCTTTTTTTAAGGGAGGCTACTCTGGTTTGTGCAACTGTGTGTGTGTTTGTGTGTGTTTTTGTGTTGTTGTTTTTGTGTGTGTGTGTGTGTGTGTGTGTGTTTAGACTGCCCTGCTCAATTCACGTTTTAATAACATGATTACAAAATAGAGGTACAAGTGAAGAACAAAACAAAAACAGGTTGATCTGTTTTTAACTCGGAAAAGCTTCAAAACTGTTATCTTTGGCTGCAAGCAAAACCGGTGAAGCCGATCCCGGTGTCTGGCTGTCCTGTCATTATCCTTTGTGGAGTGCTTGCAAAAGCGAGACCACAGCCAGGAAGGGGTGAGTGAGTGAGTATGGATTTACGCCGCTTTTAGCAATATTGAAGCAATATCACGGCGTGGTACACCAGATATTAGCCTTACACATTGCAAACATGTGCGGAAATCGAACTCGGATCTTTAGCATCACGAGCAAACGCTTTAACCACTAGGCTACCCTACCGCCGTAGCAGTCCAAAAACATTCTAAAGTTAAACTCAATAAACGTTTAAGTAAGACGAAATAAACCTGATAGTCGTTGCAGCATCAAATTTAAACACGAGTAATAAAGGTAATGAAAATATGGTGGGGTGATCGATTGACTCGTAACATACTATTGTTAAAACATTATGAGAACATCCATATTTTCAGCTTCGTTTCGGTATGTGTTATTTGTTTTTGAGATGTCTTTGTATACTCGATTGATCATTTTTCTTTTAGATTTGTTATGTTGTTAATCTTGCTTACTTGTTACATAATTAATGATTTTTTTACAAAAACGTCAGTGACAATTCCAATTTTCAGTTAGTCTATTTGACTTTGTATTCAACTTGCTACAATTTATATCCCTATATGATTTATACATCACCACGTTGTAATACTGGTTTACATTTATTGTATATATCTCTTTATATTTGCAGGATGTTTTGATTTTCATTTACTTTAAATTTGCTTTGAAATGTGACTTTGATATGTGACTTTGAAATGTGTCGTATAAGCTATTCACAATTCACCATCGATATTAATCTATGTTACACGTGCCAATTCATTAAAAGTGTATCGTATAACATCTCAGTTTTAATAGTTTCCGTTTATGTAGACGAGAACAGTATCTGAGGGGCACTGTTAACAATAGTTTTGGTTATTTGTGTTTCATTTTTATCAACTATTATTATGCATACATTTCTCAGGATTAAACTACTTTTATTCCTTAAACACGTGGATTGTCTCATTTGTTCGGGAATCACAGATGTATGGACAACACAGGCAGCTTATATAGGTATGATATGTTGGCTTGTTTGACAGTACAGACGGTGATATTGTTTCAGAACAAAACATAGTTTAGGATTATTCATCTCAGTTTGTTTTCATCTAAGCTACGCTAAAATGAGAACAAATACGATGTTTGCTAGACTACAGCTGTATCTGGAGAGGAAGTGAGAGCATGTATTTGGACGATGCTTAGATGTGGATCCGGGTTTGAATTGGCCTTCAGCAACCCATGCTTGTCATAAAAGTCGACTAACCGGATTGGGTGGTCGTATCCCAATTGCATAGATTGATGCTCATGCTGTTGATCACTCGATGGGTCACGACTCGATTATTTGCAGACCGCCGCCACGTGGCTGTAATATTGCTGAGTGCCACAACAGTTTGCGTAAAAGTAAAGATAACGGTATTTGCAACACTGTCCATAACACTCGTTCTCTTTCTGTCCTGCTCTGTTAATGAAAACTAATAATACAAGTAACATTTGCAAACTTGGTATGAATATCCACCCTGTTCTTGCATATAGAAAACTGTACACATTGTGATTGCATGGCATTTTCGTTATCTGACTTTGTACTATAGCCCTGTGTCCACTTCTACCAAATCAGCGAGCCTGACCACCCGATTCCGTTAGTCACCTGTAACAACAAGCATTGTTGGCTGAAGACCAATTCTTACCCGGATCTTCACCCATACTGACTGACTGACTGAGTTTGGTTTTACGCCGCTTTTAGCAATATTCCAGCAATATCACGGCGGGGGACACCAGAAATGGGCTTCACACATTGTACCCATGTGGGGATTCGAACCCGGGTCTTCGGCGTGACGAGCCAACGCTTTAACCACTAGGCTACCCAACGCCCCTCTTCACCCATACATATGAACTGTTCTTAGCCACAGTTCTCGATAGCTGATTCTCCGTGTAGCTGTATAGTAATTCAAATAGGGATATCCAAAAGAGTATTAGCGTATTCAGTCCCCCGAATCCATGTTGAAAGCATGACCATATGTCACTGACATACGTAGACTCATCACAGTTACCCCACAGCCCGTTGACAATAGTCGAACTTAGCAATCGGTTTGGAATGGTATTGTCATAGAAACGAGTTATAGCATACGACATTTGAATTACTTTGCCTTGCTGTTTGAGTTGAGGATTTAATATTGCTTCAGCGATAGGTATTACAGTGTACGTCACACAAATATTCACAGATAGTTTATATCATCATGTTGTAAGTAAGAGGTTAACGACAGACTCTCCTTGTATATAGTACTTCCTTGTTTCGATAGATATGGGTATTTTCCTCATCACTATGAAGTTATTGACACATGTCCAGGCTACAGAACGGCCAGAAGCAAGTATATTTATGAGTTCGCCAGCTGTTACAAACATCCGATGCAAAGGGTAGTATAGAACACATAGGATGATAGCAGGTCAGCTGATAGCAGGGACTGTTTGAAACATTTAAGCACTTTGAATCAAGCCATTGGTCCAAACTGATCTTTTTGGATGTAGATCTATACGTAATTATATAAAGGTAGAACAGATATGATTACCTCTGTGCTAAGACGTCAGACAACTGTCATACGAGTATTTCACATTTGTATGGGACAAAGTGTCGAGGTAACGGTTCCCAAACTAAAACGCCTATTTCCACTTCAAACAAAAACGAAAATAACTTCGTTTGCTAACTTCATTTTTACATATTCTTGTATACAACAGATCTTAATGCAGTAGAAGGTACTCTTCATAACAGTTTCCAAAGTAACGATGTCACATTAGCAACAGTGAGGTTTACATAATTTAAAGCATATAGCACAAAATCAAACCTACTGAGACGTCGTGGCTTTCATAGTCCACCCTATTACGATGTGATTTCTGTTAAAAGAGTTTAAAAGGAAATGCCTTATACGTATGCATTTTAAAGTCTATCATGTTCATGATATATGCATTATTAAAAATGTCAGGCATGTGTTGTAAATTAACAAAATACTGAATAGCATGTTCTGCTACTTAAACATAAACTGTACAGTACCGAATCCTCAAATCTATTTTCACGGCCAGACAATAGAATATATGAGGGAAAAAATCACAGGTCATAGATTTCCGGTTTGGATTAAAGAATTGATTTTAGGAATCATGGATGAAATATTGGGTGGATTTTGAAGGAAGCAAAATTTAAGTTCTCTGCATCGCCTCAAGCGATTTCCTAAGATGGTAACATTCATCTCACTGCAACAATAGTCAAGTGTATCAAGGAGAAGAATGATTTCCACACAATTGCTTGGTCTTCTTGTAACTTGGGATGTAATGTGGGATGAGCGGCAAGAGTTTTTTTCCCTAATATACCGAAGAAAACGACACTCCACCTTCCTGGGTCAGAATATTGTGGAAAAGCCCATAGGGTTTTATAACCCTATAGTACTTTCCAGAACACTGTCTAAATATTGCACAAGACTACATGTAGCAGACCACTGCAACCCCCACCCTCGCTACAATATTATACACCAGGAACACTGGCATTGTTACACAGTGAATGACACTGTCACATATCCGTACAAATGTCTCGAGTTTGAGGTCTCATGTTCTCTGCCGTGATATTCTGTTGTCGCCATGTGTCATATGGTATTAATGTGGACGTTACATTGACGAGCGACGTCACGATGCGAGCATTCACTTTCTGCCATTGCTGCTTGTTGTGGCATGATCTAAACTATGCGCTTGTTGCAATCCGAATGACGTAGACTTTTGCTGAGAGCATTTAAAGCGGTCCCGAATTTTCGTTTTTTCTTCAGTGATAATTTCATGAATCCGTGCCATGATTTGTAAATGCATGTTGTTTGAGGCACTTTATTTGGTCCTTCACACCAAATGGAATCGATTTTACATGATAGCCGCACTTGATATTCTGTTGCACTCATGTTTCGTATTTCCCGTTGAGTATGAAAGGCAATATCTCTGTGTCATAAATAGTATCCACAGAAAACAAACTATACAGGCACATCTGATACGAATTGGTCAGCATATCTCGAAACAAAGCCATGCCTACTCAGCGAGATCAAATAAGACTAGATAAAGCAAAAGATCAAATGTTTTCCTTATTTGATGAGATTGCTTTCATTCCTCGATAACGGGGTTTAGTCACAACGACATGACCCTCCTGAAGGTGAGCATCGCCGTGGTGCTGCCTCTGGTGGTGGACTGTGTGTGTGAACCCGGGCTTCAGGCCTGTGAGTGGGAGTCTTGGGGTGTGTGGAGCTCCTGCTCAAGAACATGTGCTGGGCTGAGAACCAGAACACGGAAGATGTGCTGTGGAGTTCATTTTCCAGACTGTATCGGTATATGTCGCCGACCCAACACGTCTGTGGAGACGGAGCCATGTGCGACACACTGTCCCAATGGTGGAAGGTACATTGATGGCTACTGTCACTGTCCTCCTCTCAGATATCGAGTTTGTTGTGAACGAGGTGAGAGTTATAGGTTAATAATCAGGTTTTCGATTTACCATGAAGTTTGTTTCTCATGTCACCAAGCACTGCTTATTACTAACATGTATTTTCAATGAATGATTTGCAACATTACGTTTATTATGTGTGCCAGTCAGCATCTGTTTGTTTTAGATGAAATGTCAATGATGAAGTTGTGGTAAGTCACACAGAATAATCATATTAAAAATGCCGCTCTTGATCATGTAATTAACGTTACTGTCATAGTAATCTACGTTACTGAAATGAACGTAAACAAAATCAATTTGCATAAATTGATGATCAACTTACTATACATAGGCCATTATACAACTTGAACACAAATCTTGTAATCTACGTTACCGTAACACTACCGTATCTATATAGAAATTGAGAAAAAGTACTGGTGAAATGTTTCTATACTATTACACAGAGTTACATTAATAGATGCAAAAGTGATTAACAGTTTCTGCGTTTCATTCATTATTTAAAGTACAGACAGTACAGAAGCACAGTGACAGTGAAAATACATCCAAACAGTAATCACGTTACCTGCTTAGTTTGATGTAGAATATCAACAATGATAATCCAATTAAAAGTAAACAATCATTTAATGTTTAGAATAGTTCATACCATAACTCTAGACCCTTAAAACTGGCTTATCTATGTTGTAGTAGCGAAACAAAGTATGCTCCTATGGGAATGAGGTCACGTAGATTACACAAACGTCCTTTAGCACCCACCAAAAGTTTAAAGTGTAATAGAAGAACAGTAATTTGTTTGAAAGTTTGAAAGAAACGTATTGAAAAGGTTTGCTCTATGGCGATGCTAAAAAGTGTAAGCAGAGCTGTACAATTTGTATACCTGTTTATTTCATGACATGTTTACAGACGAGACGGCTGCGTCTGGTGACTGTGCCCGACACTGCACGTGGGCCAACTGGTTGTCATGGGGAGACTGCAGCACAGACTGTGGCTGTGGAACACGAATCAGGAAAAGGTGGCTTTGTGGTCGAACAGGACTCAGCTGGTCTGAGCGTATAGAGGATTGCAACTTCCGGGACAAAAACAGTACTGACGAGAGAGTCTGCACTAAACAGTGCACCAGGAATGGTAAGGGGTAAGGCCATAGGCTGAAACAGTTATACTGCTACGGTTACTTTACATCCTGAGCGTTTGTCATATCAGGTCGAATTGTTGATTTGTTGAAACTTTATGTTAACAATAATTTAAGGTTGTTTGTCCATGCATTGTTACCTTCTTGTACTGTTCCAACTTCTAAATGCCTTTTAAACAAGTTAATGCAAAGACCGTCAGACAGTGAGAGGTAAATACCATCTAGTCAGTGTGTTGTAAGTGAGAACTGTGAGATGTACATGGTCACGATCTAAATGAACATTTGGTCGAAACCTACCAGAAAGCCACACCGCAAAGGAAATATGTAGTAGACAGTGCGAGAGAAATGGTATAGCAGTGATCAAAAGTTTACCACAGTCAAGCACGTTCCTGCTACAATTCACCATCTCGCGTCAATTTGTGCAATTTGCTTAAAGTTTATCCCTTCCATCACTAATATGCGAGGTCCCATGCTTGTCGTAAGAGTCGACTAATAGGATCGGGGTCGCTGACTTGGTTGACTCGTCAACACGCAATAATGACATTAACAATAGTATGGGAATATTGACAAACGTAATCAGTGCATTTAATAAAGTGAAACGACAAAACCCTTTCCACATCCATAAGAAATCTCGAATATACAATTGTGACTATGTTTTGAGCATATATTTGTTTCAGCAGTATTACAGCTGTATGACGTTGTTGTAAACCAATAACAAATGAAACATATCAATTCCAAGAATATATATCTTCACGTAGACCAGAGTCAGACTTGTCAACTTTGTTCCTGGAACAACTGGCAACCATGGAGCAGTTGTAGCCAGACATGTGGAGGAGGACAAAGGTCAAGGTCACGGTCACCTTGTTGCTGTGAAGGCCAATCCAATAAGGACTGTCAGTTTGACTGCCGGTTGTGGGAGAACGACTCAGTTCAAACCGAGAACTGCAGTGAAATTTGTTTCAACAACGGAAGCTTCTCAAGCAGCATCTGCCACTGTGGACAAGGCTATTCTGGATCTGCCGCCACAGACGCTGCAACAGCTCGCCGTTGCACTGCAGGAGGAGTGGAGAGCCATTCCCCAGGAAAGAATCCGGCGTCTTATCCGTTCTTGTCCAAGGAGATGCCGTGCAGTGATTGCAGCGCGTGGTGCTCATACGAGATACTGAGAAAGACGCCCCCCCTGGTGACCAACTGGTGTCTGTGAGATGACTTTTGAAATGACAATTTTAAACATGCCCATCTGGGTTATTATTCTGCCAAATTTCAGACTTCTGTCTTAAATAATAAAAATGCCGTGTCGTCCTAAAACTTCAGATCAAAATCTCTAAAATACAGGGGTTGCGTTTCTTTTTTGACAGAGTTTATTTCTTTATATTCGTAGGCTGTTTTGATTTTCATTTACTTTAGCTAGTTATTGATATCCATCCACCACATTTGTGTGTCAATACTGTTTTGGAATTTGCTTTGAAATGTGACTTTGATATGTGACTTTGAAATGTGACTTTGATTTGTGACTTTGAAATGTGACTTCAGGATCTGTTTCACATGGTTGTCGTAAAAGCTATTCACAATTCACCATCGATATTAATCTCTGTTACACGTGCTAATGCATTAAAAAATGTATCGTACAACATCTCAGTTTTATTGTATCCGTTTATGAAGACAAGAACACTATCTGTGGGGCACTGTTAACAATAGTTTTGGGTATTTTTGTTTCATTTTTATCAACTATTATTATGCATACATTTCTGAGAATTAAACTTCTTTCATTCCTTAAACACGTGGATTGTCTCATTTGTTCGGGAATCACAGATGTATGGACAACACAGGCAACTTATATAGGTATGATATGTTTGCTTGTTTGACAGTACAGACCGTGATATTGTTTCAGAACAAAACATATTTTCGCATTATTCATCTTAGGGTTTTTTCATCTAAACTAGGCTTAAACGAGAACAAACAAGTTGTTTGCTAGACTACAACTGTATCTGGAGAGGAAGTGAGAGCATGTGTTTGGACAGTTTAGTTGTAGATCCGGGTTTGAATTGGTCTTCAGCAACCCATGCTTGTCGTAAAAGTCGACTAACCGGATTGGGTGGTCGTATCCAAATTGCATAGATTGATGTTCATGCTGTTGATCACTCGATGGTCGGGTCACGACTCGATTATTTGCAGACCGCCGCCACGTAGCTGTAATATTGCTTAGTGCCACAACAGTTTGCGTAAAAGTAAAGATAACGGTATTTACAACACTGTCCATAACACTCGTTCTCTTTCTGTCCTGCTCTGTTAATGAAAACTAATAATACAAGTAACATTTGCAAACTTGGTATGAATATCCACCCTGTTCTTGCATTTAGAAAACTGTACACATTGTGATTGCATGGCATTATCGTTATCTGACTTTGTACTATAGCCCTGTGGCCTCTTCTACCAAATCAGCGAGCCTGACCACCCGATTCCGTTAGTCACCTGTAACAACAAGCATTGTTGGCTGAAGACCAATTCTTACCCGGATCTTCATGCAACATAAGAGAACTGTTCTTAGCCACAGTGCTCGATAGGGTCCGTGTAGCTGTATAGTAATTCAAATAGGGATATCAAAAAGAGTATGAGAATATTCAGTTCCCCGAATCCCCATCACTGTAGATTGTAAACACTCAACACTGACTCAGGAAACAAATGTTGACATGACTCTATGCCATTGACTCACAGGTACCTCACACCCCGTTGTCAATAGTCGTATTTAGTAGTCGGTGTGGAATGGTATTGTCATAGAAACGAGTCATAGCATACGACGTTGCAACATTTGTATAAAATTACTTTGCCTAGCCATTTGTGTTGAGGATTTAATATTGCCTCAATGATTACGCAATACACAACACAAATATTCACAGATAGTTTATATCATCATGTTGTAACAAAGAGGTTAACGACAGACTTTCCTTGTATATAGTACTTCCTTGTTTCGATAGATATGGGTATTTTCCTCATCGCTGTGAAGTTACTGACACGTGTCCAGGCTACAGAACGGCCAGAAGCAAGTGTATTTATGAGTTCGCCAGCAGTTACAAACATCCGATGCAAAGGGTAGGATAGAACACACAAGCTGATAACAGGTCTTGGGGACTGTTTTAAACATTTAAGCACTTTGAATCAAGCCCTTGGCCCAAACTGATCTTTTTGGATGTAGATCTATACGTTATATGAAGTTAAAACAGATATGACTAGCTCTGTGCTAAGACGTCAGAAAACTGTCATACGAATATTTCACATTTGTATGAGACAAAGTGAGCTAATGCTTTTCAAATCAAAACAACTATTTCCACTTTAAACGAAACCGAGAATAACTTCGTTTCTTCATTTTTACATATTTTTGTTATAACAGATCCTAATTCAGTAGAATTCAGCCTCCAAAAGTAATGATGTCACATTTACAACAGTAGGTGTTTACATGATGTAATGCATATAGCACAAAATAAAACCGATTGAGACATCAAGGGTTTGGTGGCTTTCATAGTCAACCCTATTACGAAAGTGATTTGTGTTCATAAAGGTTGAAAAGGAAATGCCCTAAAGTCTATCATGTTCACGATATATACATAAATAAAAGTGTCAAACATGTGCTGTAATTTGACAAAATACTGAGAAGCATGTTCTAAAAATTAAAAATAAAGTGTAGAGTACCGAATCCTCCCGACATATCTACATGCTTCAAGTGTTCAAAACAATCAACTTATGCAAAATACACGATAGCAACACTGGTTAAGAATAAACTTGGACAGGCGTTCGTGATAAAGCTAAATAACGTTAATATAACGAAAAAGAGTTAGTGAGTATGATTTTACGTCGCTTTAAGCAATATACCAGCAATATCACGGCTGGGCTTCCCGCAGTGAACGTTTTAACCACTAGGTTACACCCACTGCCCAATAAACGAAAACGAAACACAAAAGTAATTTAAACATATGTTGATCAGAGCACGAGTGACACACGATAACAACAACGAGGTTGAAACAGTCCAAAAAGACAAATTGGATAGCATACACAATCCTAAACAAACAGCAAACAAACGGCGTGAGCAAAATGTTTTTCAGGCAGTAGATCATATGAAGGGAAAATGACGGATCATAGATTTCACGGATAGACCGACTAAAGAATGTTAGATTTTAGAACAAAAGATTATGGAAATCATTGATGGAATCTCGGGCGGATTTTGAAGGAAACAAAATTAACTTCTCTGCATCATCTCAAAAACGATTTCCTAAGATGGTAACATTCATCCAACTGCAACGAGAGTCAAGTGTATCTAAGGAAAGAATGATTTCCACACAATTGCTGGTCTTCTTGTAACTTGGGATGTAATGTGAGACGATAAGCAAGATTTAGCTTCCAGAACACTGTCTAAATAGTAAGTCTAAATATAGCAGACCTACTGCAACCCCCACCTAGCTACAATGTTATACACGTGGAACATCGGCATTGTTACCAAGTGAATAACACTGCCACACATCCGTACACTTATCTCGAGTTTGTGGTCTGACCTTCTCTGCCGTGATATTCTGTTGCCGTCACGTGTCACGTTGTATTCATGTGGACGCTACATTGACGTGCGACGTCACGATGCGAGCATTCCCTTAACCCATTATCTGTCATTGTTGCTTGTCGTGACATGATCTAAACTATGCACATGCTACACTCCGAACGAACTAGCCTTTTACAGAGAGCATTTGAAGCAGTCCTGAATATTCTTTGTTACTTCAACAACATTTGTTTTTATTAAATTTATTGGATTTTGTTCACATCAATTTTCATGAATCCATGCTAAGGTTTGTAAATGCAAGTGTTTTAAGGCACGTAATGCTTACCCTTCTGCTAACACCGGGTGTCATCATTCAGTCGTCCGTTCGTGTGATTTGTATGACTCTTTGGACCTTCACATCAAATGGAATCGACTTCTCATGATAGTCAAAACTTGGTAATATGTTTCACTGACTTTTCATATTTTCAGTTGAGGATAAAAGGCAACATATTTGTGTCATAAATAGTATCCACAGAACACTATAAACACAAATCTGATACGAATTAGTCAGCATCACTTGGAAGAAAGCCATGAATATTCAGCGAGATCAAATAGGACTAGATAACGCGAAAGAGAAAATGTTTTCCTCATTTGAGGGAAAGTCTTTTCTGTGCATATAACGAGGTTCAGTTACAATAACGACATGACCCTCCTGAAGGTGAGCATCGCCGTAGTGCTGCCTCTGGTGGTGTACTGTGTGTGTGAACCCAGGCTTCAGGCCTGTGAGTGGGAGTCTTGGGGTGTGTGGAACTCCTGTACCAGAACATGTGCTGGGCTGAGAACCAGAACACGGAAGATGTGCTGTGGAGTTCATGTTCCAGACTGTATCGGTAAATGCCACCGACCCAACACGTCTGTGGAGACAGAGCCATGTGCGACACACTGCCCCAACGGTGGAAGCTACATTGATGGCTACTGTCACTGTCCTCCTCTCAGATATGGAATTTGTTGTGAACGAGGTGAGAGTAATAGGTTAATAATAATCAGCTTTTCGATTTACCATGAAGTTTGTTTCTCATGTCACCATACCCTTTTAGTTACTAACTTACTGTTTTAATGCAGCATTACGTTTATCATGAGTACCAGTCAGCATCTGTTTGATTTAGATGAAATGCCTATGATGTATAATCTATATGACAAATATATTTATCTATATTACGTCTGTGTGTGTCAGCTCCACACGTGGGCCATACCCGCATCGTATCCGGACAACAACGGTTTCAGTGCGACCTCGCGAAAATGCCCATATTTCATCATGTACACAGAATAAGCTCAACATCGTTCATAACTTCTCTTTTCTAGTGCCAACCAATGTACGGAGAACGTGTTTGTTTACCCTGTTCACACTACACAAAGCAGCAGTGAAATATTATTGGGAACACATAACATAAAGTGCTTTAATGCAAATAATCTGAATAGCTATTATCTTGAAAATGTATGCGGTAGCTAATGCAATGTACTAATGCAAAGCAAAGCTAGGACAATGGTTAGTTGAGCTCCAAAAAATGAACATCAGATAAACACAAATGTAGTAGCTACAAGGTCACCCTAACAAACATCCTATTCATGTTTACCAGACGAGTCGACTGCATTTGATGGTGGCTGTGCCCGACACTGCACGTGGACGAACTGGTTGTCATGGGGAAACTGCAGCACAAACTGTGGATGTGGAACTCGAACCAGGAAAAGAGGGCGCTGTTGTCAAAGCGGGTTGAACAGTACTGAGTGTATAGCTGATTGCAACTTCCGGGACAACAGCACTGAAGAGAGAGTCTGCACTAAACACTGCACCGGGAATGGTAAGGGGTGGGGGTCATAGACTGAAACAGTTATACTGTATGTGTCACATAAAATCCTAAGCGTTTGTCATATACAGGTCGAATTATTGATTTATTGAGACCTTAATGTTAACAATAATACAAAGAGGTTGTTTATTCATATATTGTTATCCTTTCTTACTGCTCCAACTTCTAAATGTCTCTCAAACAAGCTAATACAAAGACCACCAGGCATTGAAAGTTAAGGCCATGCTGTCAGTGTGTTGTAAGTGAGAACTGTCATATGTATATGTACATGGTCACGATCTAAAGGAACATTTGGGTGAAACCTTCCAGAAGGCCACACTATTAAGAAATATGTAGTAGACAGTGCCAGAGACATGGTATGGCAGTACTCAAATGGGTACCACAGTCAACCGCGTTCCTGCTACAATTCACCATTTCGCGTCAATTTGTGCAATTTGCTTACAGTTTATCCCTTTTGTCTCTAATATGCGACGTCCCATGCTTGTCGTAAGAGTCGACTAACGGATCGAACTCGCTGACTTGGTTGACTCGACAACAATGACATTAACAATAGTATGGGAATGTTAACAAACGTAATGAGTGCATTTAATGAAGTGAAACGATAAAACCCTTTCCACATCCATAAGAAATCTCTGCTAAATGTCGATTGTACAATTGTGACTATGTCATGAGCATATATACTAGTCAACGAGTCAAAAAAGAAACTACACAAAATATAATTTGAAAACTAATGAATAATTTTTCTCTGATGATACATATATGTATCCGAAATGGGATCCCTATCTTTCGACTCTAGAAAAACGTTAGCAAAACCCACTCAAACCCAGCCATTCGTCGTGCAATGACGTTAGTGCCAAATCAGGTTTTGCACGTGCAGTCGATCACGTGATCTTCGCTTCGAAGTTTTCTTCATATGCACGTGTTTGCATTGGCCTCAAGAATTGAAAAAACACTTTTAAACCACAGTTCTAACGGTACTTGAAATGCCACGATTGTCAAATGTGCAACGTGAACGTGCCGTTGGCATGTTGCAAGCGGGAAGATCAGTTATTGAGCAATGGGATGCAGCCGTCGTACTGTGTATGACTTGCGAGGTCGTCTACAACAAACTGGCACCACTTCTGATCGCCCAAGGTCAGGTCGTCAACGTGTGACGTCACGAGCAGAAGACCTTCAAATCATCCTACGTCACCTACGTGACGGCCGGCTGCCGGCTACACAAACCAGGGCTGAGATGTTTAGAGGTCGACTGTCCTCACAGACCATTCGAAATCAGTTGCGGGCTGTCAATCTTCATTCTCCACGTCCATATCGTGGGCCAATATTGACGCCGTTTCATCAACGTCAACGTTTGCTGTGGGCCAAACGGCACCTCCGATGGACCCAGAGAGACTGGAGTCGAGTCGTCTTTAGCGATGAATCCAGGTTTACCCTCAGATTCGCGGACGGCAGGCATAGAGTCTGGAGACGACGTCGTGAAGGGTATGCTAAATGTTGTGTACAGGAAGTCGACAGATTCGGAGGCGGAAGTTGCATGGTGTGGGGTGCTTTCTGTGGGAACAACCGTTCCAGACTTCTGGTCATCCGTGAAAACCTCACAGCTGCTGCTTACCGCGACCATGTGCTCACCCCTGAACTCGTTCCTTTCATGGCGGCGCATTGCCCCGGTCTACAGTTCCAGCATGATAATGCTCGGCCGCATACCGCGATGTTGACACGAAGTTTCCTTCAAAACGCTGTTCCCCTGACCTTAATCCAATAGAGCACGTTTGGGATGCACTTGGGAGAAGGCTTCGTGGTCTTACGAACCAACCTCAGAATTTGCAGGAACTTGGCGCTGCCTTGCAAGAGCAATGGCGCAGAATCCCCAACCACTTGTTCACAAGCATCAGGCAGTCGATGAGGAGACGGTGTTTGGCAGTGGTGAATGCGCGGGGCGGCCATACATGATATTGAACTGAGAAATTTCACATTTTTATTCTTGTGACTTGACATTCTGTATACCCATGTTTTGTAACGGCGGTGTAGCCTAATGGAACTGATAATGGCACTGTCAGTGTATCGAGTACATCACACAGATCTCAGCAATGAAATAATAACGATTTCACCATCTTACCATCTCTTGTTCTTTTAGAGTGCCCTGAAGAAAGAATGTGAAGTTTCTTTTTTCACTCAATATATTTGTTTCAGCTGTATGACGTTGTTGTAAACCAATATCAATTCCAAGAATATACTATCTTCACGTAGACCAGAGTCAGACTTGCCAACTTTGTTCCTGGAACGCCTGGCAACCATGGAGCAGTTGTAGCCAGACATGTGGAGGAGGACAAAGGTCAAGGTCACGGTCACCTTGCTGCTGTGAAGGCCAATCCAATAAGGACTGTCTGTTTGACTGCCGGTTGTCGGAGAACGACTCAGTTCAAACCGAGAACTGCAGTGAAATTTGCTTCAACAACGGAAGCTTCTCAAGCAGCATCTGCCACTGTGGACAAGGCTATTCTGGATCTTGCTGCACTGAGGGTAGGATGCTTCTTTATGTGTTGATTGCTGAGTATGGCGCGACACCTGATCATACCGTTAATGACACAAAGAGCATCCTAGATGTGTACCCGTGAAGCTCCGGGTTAGAATTGGCCTTCAGTAACCCATGCTTGTCGTAAGAGGCGACTGTCGGGATCGGGTGGTCAGGGATGCTGACATGGTTGACACATGTCATCGGTTCCCAATTGTTCAGATCGATGCTCATACTGTTGATCACTGGATTGTCTGGTTGAGACCCGATTATTTACGGACCGCCGCCATAAAGCTGGAATATTGCTGAATGCGTCGTAAAACTAATCTCACTCACTCTTAGATGTGTACGTAGTACACGAATGGTTGTCATTGATATAGAATGAACTCCGGCTGTGTCCTAAACCACACAAGGGCAAGGAACAGCCAGAATACACTTCTTTCATAGTGCTCATGTCGAAGGTCTTCTTCGCCTCGAGGGCTATAAATAGAATTCGTATCCCTTCATTATGGCTTTCTATTTATAGAATTTTGAATGAAACCTTTCTAATTTCATTTCAGAGGTAACTGATGGCAAGTGTACAAAATGCGCCTTGGGGATGTGGGGACGGTGGGGACCTTGCAATGACTCCAAGAACGGGGAGGTAACGAGAAGGAGATCCCTCTGCTGTCGTGTGGGACAGAAGGAGAACGAGTGTTACGCCCAGTGTAAGCGAGAGAGACATGAAACCGTCGACGTGAAACAATGTGACCTGTTTATAGTGAAAGGTAAGTCAACTGTGAAACAGTTTAATATAATAACGATGAACTCCATCACTCTTATCATGGTCGTGTCAGATGGTATAAGGGGTGGTGGGGTAGCCTAATGGTTAAAGCGTCCGCTTGTCACGCTGAAGACCAGGGTTCGATTCCCCACATGGATACAATGCGTGAAGCGCATTTCACGTTATCCTTGCCGTTTTATTACCGGAATATTGCTAAAAGCGGCATAAACCCATACTCACTCACTCAGATGACACAATTGTCGTGTCGGACACAGTCTTAGTATATACCATATATGTTCCGTTCTACTATTCCAGAACAGAGTCAACATCGATCATCTGAAGTTCCTGAAAGACATTTTAATGTTGGACGAACACTGTATACTTCAGGATGTAGTGGCATTTTATTTAATGCGATGCATATATTGGTTAACATTTTCAGATTCAACCCAACTTCACTTTATGTACACCATCATCGCCTCTGTCGCATCCGTTGTCTTCACGTCGCTTGTCTGGTGGGTATATATGATTCTGAAATGTGTACCTTTCCGAGTGAGTGAGTGAAAAGTATATGTCCATTGTACGATTCCGACTACTGTCATGTGTGTGAGTGAGGGAGGGAGAGAGGGAGAGAGAGAAGGGGGACGGGTCAAGGAGGGAGTGGGCTCCACACATTGTTCCCATGTACCCATCTGACTTAATATTATTCAATTCGAATATGTACTTAATGAATCTAACAATGCCAAAAAATTCAAAAGATCCCACGGGCATAAGAAATGTGTATGTCTATTGTACGATTTTGACTAAATCGTAATCGTAAGCCTTGTTTATTGACTGATATACATAAAGTCAGCTGCGCCAGAGGCTGTAGTTAACGCAAAACCTCACAACTCATTTCAATCCCGACAAAGCCTCCAAGTCTACAAATACAGATACAGATACAGAGCGTCCTACTGACGAAAAGACAATACAAGGCAATATCTCAATGTAAAGTAAAATATAAGAGATGCTGCTTTAGATAATACGAATATTCTTATTTTAGGACTGCTGCTTATTGCATGAGGAACAGGAAGTGCAGGGGGCCACCAGACCAGCAGGGGTCATGTGATGTCAACAGTCCAGCTGAAATGCACACCTTTACCAGTCTACAAGCTGATCGGAGAGACGGAGCTCGTAACGTCAACCAGAATACATGCTGTGACAGTGATGCATGTGAGTCCGGGTATGAAATACCACAAGACCTGTTTATGTAATGCGCCCATGTTGGTGTCCCCTGCCGTGACATAGTTTGGATGTTGCTAAAGGCGACGTAAATCTCAACTCGCTCACTCACTCACTTTTATGTAATACCGACTATTTTTTCGGTTAAACGTTCGGTTATAACTTGTTAAACATTTATCAATGAGAACACGGCTCGCATCAGAACATGGAGGTTTTGAAGGTTTTCGCCGCCGTTGTTCAAATCCCAATTGCGTACATCGATGCTCATGATGTTGCTCATTGGAATGTCTGGTCAAGATTCGATTATAAACAGACCGCCGCCTATAGCTGGAATATTGCTGAGTGTGGCGTTAAACAAGCAACAGACCATTTTCCGAAAGAAATCTCTGCTAAAAGCAGGACGTGTCGTGTCCGACAGTGTCTTGAGCCACACGTTGGCATGAGGTAGCCAGAATGAACTTCTGTCATAGCACACATGTGGAAGTCTTCTTCGCCTCAAGGGTTATGTTGTCTCAATACAGATTGTGTCAATGTGTTTGTCATGTTTTCGTTTTGGGTAAGATAATAGTACCAAAAGGAAGTTCAGTGGTTAGATATAATTATTGTGGACCTTTCTTGACACCGAACCACGTGGAAGTTCATAGATGATGTTTAGCACTTCAGAATGCTTTGGGACGATACATATGCATTGTTAGGAACAAACAGTGTAATTTTGGGGTAGTTGCGAGGTAAGTACTATGAATCGTTTTCAAAGGGAGGCTACTCTAGTCTGTGCAACTTCGTGTGTGTTTAGACTGTCCGATCAAATTTGTATCGTAACATGACTACAAAATAAAGACCGCAGCGAAACGCTTTTTGAGCTGGTTTTAATTCGGAAATCCTCCACGCCACTACGGTCTTTGACTGCAAGCAAAAAACAAATGTGAACTGTCTGGCTGTCGTGTCATTACGTTATGGGTGTATTTACAAAAGCGAGACCACAGCGAGGAATGAGCGAGTGAGTATGGTTTTACGCCGCTTTAGCAATATCCAAGCAACATCAAGGCGGTGGACACCAGAAATTGGCTTTGCACATTGCGCTCAAGTGGGGAATCGAACTCGGATCTTCCATGTCACGAGCAAACGCTTTAACCTCTATGCTACCCCACCATCCAGGAAGGAAGGGAAATAGTTTAAACACATTCTTACGCGAAAAGTAAGATAAACTAAACCCTTCAGTCGTAGCATTACATTTAAATCACGAATAATGTTAAAACAAAGTTAATCAAAATAAGGTGATTAAGATTTAAGTACCATACTATCGTTGAAATATTTTATAATTTTTATCTTCTGAGATTCGTTTCGATATTTCTGTAAATATAGATATAGAGCAACCTTCCTAAATTCTATTAAGAATGAAAGTTAATCTTTCAGACACGGAATTTTGAGACACATGTGCGGGACTGCAGCAAGTTATCTATCTTCGTTTTATAGATGTCTTTGTTAACTCGATTTACGATTTGTCTTTTGCATTTGTTATGTTGTTAAGCATGCCTACTTGTTATATAAGTAATGAATTGTCTTGACCTTATCAATGTATACAGCTTGTTCAGCTTGACCTGAGCTACTCTACATATGCATGACCCAGGAGGTCATATGGCACAAACGGTAAGTCGAGTTAACCTGATTAAATAGGGGAGCAGAGAATGTTAAACGACGACCTTGTCTCGGCTGTTCGGACTTGTTGACACCTGACAGAGGTGCACCCCTTCACAATTATAGACCCAACCAGCTTTGACACGGTCACGCAAAGCATTAGTATTCACTTGATCAGGTCAAGCTGAACAAGCTGTAGGTTGTTGCTGTTCTTGTTTCCCACTTGTGCGCTTGTAATCAGCGCATATCAAACACCATGTTCAAACCAATTAGGGACCAACCATTTTCTCTTCCTCCCACAGAGGTTTTATTACCCCAAAACACCTTTTATTTCAGCACCAATAAAATGTCCAGTGCACGTTCCGTTTTGAAAATAAACCCCGAAATCTTATTATTTCTCTTAGAGACAATGCATAGATATGTGATCAAGTACAGTGTAAACAAAATAAGAATAATATACCAATAATGATAACGTGACACAGAAGATAAAGCGTGTATAATGAATAGACATTTTCTTCAGAGACAAGCCGGAAGTCAAGAAGCGTTTGTGCATAATATGTCCTTCATTGTTTCTTACAAAGTTTCGAGGCTGTTTTTGTGTGTCTATTTTGAGGATTCTGCCAAGAACGGGCACACAGATCCATAAAATGTCATTGTAAATAATGAACAGGTTGTTATCAAAACAATTGTATTCGCTTTCACTGATCTTTTAACTAACAATTGTAACAAAAACATCAGTGACAATTCCGAAAGCCAATTTTCAGTTTGTCTATTTGACTTTGTACTCAACTCGCTACAAATATCCTGTTCAACAGTCACCACATTCACCACATATATTGTTTATAATCTCTGTCATCTTTAGAGGTTTTCTATTAACATGTTAGTTGTTATTATCCACCCGCCACCTTTATGTGTCAATACCTTTTACTTTTGCAATGTGACCCATGCCTTCAGCATCTGTTTCACAGCGTTGATTTATAGGCTGTTTGCCATTCACCATCGATATTTATCTCTGTTACACTTGCCAATGCAATGTATCGTATAACATCACAGTTTTAGTAGTTTCCGTTTATGCAGATTAGAACAATATCTGTTGGGCACTGTTTACAATAGTTTTGGGTATTTGTGTTTCATTTTTATCAACTATTATCATGCTTACATTTCTGATAATTAAACTACTTTCATTCCTTAAAAACGTTGGTTTTCTGATTTGTTCTGGAATCACGGCTGTATGGCCAATGTGTCTCTAAGGAATCAATTGTCTACATTACATATACTTGTCTTTGTGGCAGTTAGGTCATGTAGGCAACATATATAGGTATGATATGTTGGCTTGTTTGACAGTACAGACGGTGATATTGTTTCAGAACAAAACCTATTTTCGCACTATTCATATCAGTTTTCTTTTCATCTAAGCTACGCTTAACTGAGAACAAATACGATGTTTGGTAGACTACAGCTGTGTCTGGAGAGGAAGTGAGAGCGTGTTTTTGGACGACGTTTAGATGTAGATCCGGGTTTGAATCTATATTCAGCAACCCTTGTTTGTCGTAAGAGTCGACTAACCGGATTGGGTGGTCGTGTCCCAATTGCATAGATTGATGCTCATGTTGTTGATCACTCGATGGTCGGGTCACGACTCGATTATTTGCAGACCGACGCCAAATAGCTAGAATATTGCTGAGTGCGGGGTTAAACAACAAACAGTTATAAAACAGTTATTTTACCTGTAGGTCATTTATCCATGGTTAGGGTGGCCTGTATTTTATTTATTCATGGGTGTATTTGTTTCTCTCATTGTGAAAGATTAGATTCAGTTTGAAGACAGGTGTCACGTGAGAAAGTCAAAAGTGAAATCAGATATTTACACGTAATATATAGTTTATATTGTTTGTATCCCACACCAGTTTGATTACAGGAAATGCTAAAATAAAACCCTACTGTCGATTATCAGCCAAAACTGTTTGCGTAAAAGGCAAGATAGCGGTATTTGCAACACTGTACATAACACTTCTGTTCTGTTAATGAACACTAATAATACAGTTGATATTTGCAAACTGGGTATGTATATTCACCCTGCGTTTGCATACAGAAAACACCGTCTGTACACAGTGTGACTGTATGCCATTATTGTCATCTGACTTTATACTATAGCCCTGTGGCTTCTTCAGTGCTGGAATAAAAGCGACTTGACATGTACCAAGTCAGCGAGCCTGACCACCCGATTTCCGTTAGTCACCTGTTACGACAAGCATGGTTGGCTGAAAACGAATTCTAACCCGGATCTTCATGCATACATGTTAGAGGACTTTCCACAGTGCCAGATAGAGTGAGTGAGTGAGTTTAGGTTTACGCCGCACTGAGCAATATTCAAGCTATATGGCGGAGGTCTGAAAATAGTCAAGTCTGGACCAGACAATCCAGTGATCAACAGCATGAGCATCGATCTGCACAATTGGGAACCGACGACATGTGTCAACCAAGTCAGCGAGCCTGACCACCCGATCTCGTTAGTCGCCTCTTACGACAGGCATGGGTTACTGGGAGGTTCATTCTAACCCGGACCTTCAGATAGAGTCCCTGTAGTTATATCTTTGTTCAAAAAAGGGATATCGAAAACATTGGAAACACATTCATTGACCCGAAATACCCATCACTGCAGTTTGTAAACACTCAACGCTGATCCAGGAAACAAATGTTGAAAGCATGACTATATATGTCATTGGCTCAAAGGTACCTCACAACCATTGTCAATAGTCGTATTTAGCAGTCGGTTTGGAATGGTATTGTCATAGAAACGAGTCATAGCATACGACGTTGCAACATTTGTTTAAAATTTCTTTGCCTTGCCGTTTGAGTTGAGGATATAATATTTCTTCAACGATACGTATTGCAGTGTACATCACACAAATATTCACAGATAGTTTATATCGTCATATTGTAACAAAGAGGTTAAGGACTGTACTTTCTTGTATATAGTACCTTCCTGTTTCGATAGATATGGGTATTTTCCTCATCGCTGTGAAGTTATTGACACATGTCAAGGCTACAGAACGGCCAGGAGCAAGTATATTTATGAGTATGCCAGTAGTTAAAAACATCCGATGCATAGGGTAGGATAGAGCACACAGGCTGATAACAGGCATTGGGGACTATTTTAAACATTTAAGCACTTTGAATTAAGCCCTTGGCCCAAACTGATGTGTGTTTTTATGTAGATGTACATTATACAAAGGTAGAATACATGTTTTGATTACCTCTGTGGCTAAGTCGTCAGACAACTTTTTTACGAGTGTATCACATTTGTATGGGACAAACTGAGGTAAGGGTTCCCAAATCAAAACGACTATTTCCACTTCAAACGAAAACGAAAATAACTCCGTTTCCTAACTTCATTTTTACATCTTCTTGTCAT